CGCAACTTTGGGAGAAAAATTAATATAAAACACTGTCTTATTTTCGGGGAAACAGGGTATCAGTAACACTACCTCCCCTCGTCAAGCCTTACAGCAATGGCCTCTTGTTTTGTTTTGTTTTTAACCTGCCTCTAGAACTTGCTTTTATTGATTGATTTTAGAGAGAGAGAGAGGAAGGGAGAGACATTGATATATTGCTCCACTTTTTGTTGATACTTGTATACGATCTAACCGACAACCTTGACGTATTGAGATAACACTCTAACCAGCTGAGCTGCCTGGCCTGACCCTAGACGTTCCTGGTGCAAAGGAGACGTTCCTGAGACCCAAAATCCAGGAGCCATGACGATGCCAGGACATTGTTTATATGACCCCTTTGGTAGAGTCCGCCATCTGCCCTTTGGAAAGACAGTCTCCATTCCACCAGCGTCTGAGGTTGGCACTGTTTTTACCCTTTTCCTCCCGGAGTCAACACTGGCATGGGCCTGCATGCCGCTTCCTGCTGGGGAGCCTGGGCACTGGAGGCCTGTCCTCCAACTTGATATCCCCCTGCTGCAGGGCCTGATGGATGGCGTTGGCAAGAGTCCGGAAAGCTAGATCCACGTTGCAGTTGTTTTTGGCTGAGGTTTCCATGAAGGCCATGCCCAGGAGGCAGCCAGCGCCTCTGCCTCCTGGGCAGAGACGCAGCGGGCGCTCTCCAGGTCGCTCTTGTGGCCCAGGAGCAGGAAGATTGCCCTGTGGGGCCCTGGGTGGCCAGGACCTCCTGGTGCCAGTCCGGGATGTGTTCAAAGGACTTCCTGTTTGTCACATCGAAAACCAGCAGGACGCCCACCACATTCCAGTAAAAGGACCTGGTGATGCACCTGAAGCGCTCCTGGCCGCCGTGTCCCAGAGCTGCAGCTGGATGCGCGGCCCGGCCGGCGCCGCCCACTCCACCCGGCTCCAGGCTGCCCGCCGCGCCCGCCAGGAAGCGCCGCAGCAGCGAGGTCTCCCCACCGCGGCGGCCCCCAGCACCGCACCCCGAACTGGCAGCGGCAGCCCGGCGCCCCCGTGGCCCTCCGCCTCTATCGCCGCACCTCCCCGCCGGCAGCCCATCTAGCGATGGCCTCTTAATTGGTCTCCTCCAGCCCTTCTGCACCCTCTGATCCTCTCTCTATTCAATGGCCAGGGTGATCTTTTAGAAATGTAAATCGGAATATGTCAGCCTTATTGCTTAAGATTTTGCAGTGATTCCCAAGGCTCTTAGACAAGAGATAAAATGCCTTAACATGATTCACCGGGCCCTATGTACATACTTTCACACCTTGTGCTCATGGCTCCCCTCCTTTCTGATCCTGTCCCTTGGACTCTCTGTCCTCTGTACTCATCATCTCCTTCTTGTCAAGAGGCTTTGCTTATGGTCTGCCTTCTGCCAGGTCCATTCCTGCTGGCCCTTGTGCCTAGTTCATGCCTACTCACCCTTCAGAATTCAGTTCAGCCCTAGCTGGTTTGGCTCAGTGGATAGAGCATCAGCCTGCAGACTAAAAGGTCCCAGGTTTGATTCAGGTCAAGGGCATGTACCTTGGTTGCAGGCACATTCCCAGTAGGGACTGTGCAGGAAGCAGCTGATCAACGTTTCTCTCATCAAAGTTTCTAACTTCTATCCCTCTCCGTAAAAAAAAAAAATCAATAAAAAATATATTAAAAAAAAAAATTCAGTTCATGCCGAAACCGGTTTGGCTCAGTGGATAGAGCATCGGTCTACAGACTGAGGTCCCAGGTTCGATTTCAGTCAGAGGCATGTACATTGGTTGCAGGCACATCCCCAGTAGGGGGTGTGCAGGAGGCAGCTGGTCGATGATTCTCTCTCATCAATGTTTCTAACTCTTTATCTCTCTCCCTTCCTCTCTGTAAAAAAATCAATAAAATATATTTTTAAAAATTCAGTTCAAATGTTATTACTCACTACATGACACCTTATCACACCTTTTTCTTTAGATCACTAAATACAGTTGCCATTTTATATTTATTTATTAGCTGATTAGTGTTTGTTTATTTATTTTTTAAAATATATTTTTATTGATTTTTTATAGAGAGAAAGAGATAGAGAGCTAGAAACGTTGATGAGAGAGAAACACCAACCTCTTGCACACTCCCTACCTGGGATGTGCCCGCAACCAACGTACATGCCCCTGACCGGAATCAAACCTGGGACCTTTTAGTTCGCAGACCGACGCTCTACCACTGAGCCAAACCGGTTTCGACGTGTTTGTTTATTTTTATACTAGATGGTGAGTTCCATAAAGGCAGGAACTGTGTCTCTTTTGGATCAGCCATCCTGGTGCTGACATAGTATTTGGCCTGCGAGAGGAGCTCATAAAGCCTTTGTTAAGTGAATGAGGTGACGAATGAACAAAACCCACGGCCTCCTCTCACCTGCTTCCTCTTCCAGAAAGGTTCTCAAGTCCTTCAGAAGACAGGAAGCAGCAGAGAGGGGACCAGCATAATAATGACTGCCCGTCACAGTGTCAGAGGAACAGGAGAGTCTGCAGGATGCATTTTAGAGGCTCCCCTATCCTTGCTAATTTCCACTCCCTCCACAGAGGCCCAGGAAGGAAGTCGCTGAGAAGTCCCAGGGCCAGCATTTCAGATGCAGAGCCTCAGCAGGAAGGCAGGGAGAACGGGAAGGGGAGAAAGGAGCGAATGGATGTCTACTAAGAAGGGACTCTTTTTGGACACCATGCTAAATGTTTATGTCTATCATCTCATTTAACCCTCCCCAAACCCCATTTTGCAGATGAGACAATAGACTTAAAGAGCTGAGCCGAAGACAAAGCTGAGCCGAAGCCAGTTTGGCTCAGTAGTAGAGCATCGGTCTGCGGACTGAAGGGTCCCAGGTTCGATTCCGGGCAAGGGCATGTACATTGGTTGCGGGCACATCCCCGGTGGGGGGTGTGCAAGAGGCAGCTGGTCGATGTTTCTCTCTCATCGACGTTTCTAGCTCTCTATCTATCTCCCTTCCTCTCTGTAAAAAATCAATAAAAAAAATAAAAATAACAAAAAGACAAAGCTGAGTTTTAACTCAAATCAGACTTCCTTCCATGACTGGGCTTCCCCATGGCCTAAAATTGGACCTAAAGACTCAACGCTCTATCCAATGACCAGTTTGACTCATTGGATAGAGCCTTGGTCTGAGGACTCAGGGGTCCCAGGTTAGATTCCGGTCAAGGGCACGTACCTTGGTTGTGGGCATATCCCCAATGAGGTGTGTGCAGGAGGCAGCTGAGTGTTTCTCTCTCAACGATGTTTCTAACTCTTCATCCCTCTCCCTTCCTCCCTGTAAAAATCAATAAAATATGTTTTTAAAAAACTGTTAAAAAAAAAAAAAAGACTCATTGGTTGGCCTCTGTCTAAATCTGTCTTTTAGGCGTCCGTGTACAGTATGATGGTGGAAGCCCATACATTGGAAACAGAAACTCAACATAAAGGCAACTGCTACCAGACCTCAAAAGTAATATATAAACAAAAATTGGGATGTGGAAGCAAAAGAGATGGAGTTAGTGAAGATCTATCCTTCAGATTAAGGAGAGAAGAGATAGTGACAAAAACGGACATAGTTATGGTGTTGCATAAAAGAATAATGGTGATCACAGGAGAACTGAAGACAAGCTGTTGTTGGCAGTTGCCTCTGGAGAGAGGATTTGGGGAAAGAAGAGAACCTTTCACTTTCATTTGTTTGTCCTTCTGAGCTTTCCATTAAAAAAAAGAATTAACTCCGGCTGTGTAGCTCTGTTGGTGAGAGCATTGTCCTGATACACTACGGTTGTGGGTCTGATCCCTGGTCAGGGCACATATAAGAATCAACCAATAAATGCATAAGTGGAACAACAAGTCGGTGTTTATCTCTCTCTCCCTTCCTTTCTCTAAAAATCAATTTTTAAAAATTAGTGTCCTGTAACTTTTCTAAAAAGTTTAGATATTTTGTTACAAAGAACTAGACAAACAAAACCACCATTCCTTTATTTTTTAAAAAACATTTTTATTGATTTCAGAGAGGAAGGGAGAGAGAGAGAAACATCAATGATGAGAATCATTGATTGCCTGCCTCCTGTAAGGCCCCCTACTGGGGACCGAGCCCACAACCCAGGCATGTGCCCTTGACCAGAACCGAACCCGAGACCCTTCAGTCTGCAGGCCAAAGCTCCATCCATTGAGCCAAACCAGCCAGGGCAACACCATTCATTTAGAGTGCAAGCAGGTGTAGAAGTAGTAGGCCTTGATACCTGGGTAAAAGTTAGTCTGCAAATTTCCTCTGTCAGGAGGGACGTGAGTCAGGGGAGGGTCATGTGATGATAAACATGGCTTCCTAAGCAGTTGCCTCTGGAAAAAGGAGTCAGGCTTGATAAATTGTCTTTGCAAGCACACGGGGCCTGGCTAACACAGGAGCGCCCTTTCCCTCACATTTTCCTAAAGGCGGCTCACATGCAGACACACCCAGACACAAGGGGGCACTGACTCCATGGGGACCACAGATAAGCACCCCTCCGAGCAGGGCCATCCTCTGAGCAGGAGCTCCTTCCTGCCAGGGACACGGCTCCTGCAGGTCCATCCGACCGACCGCGGGTAGACGAGGTCCCAGGAGGTGGAGTGCAGCAGGTTCTCGGGTGAGTGTGACTCTGGTCCTATCTCAGAGCTGGTCATAGAGCACAGATCACTGACCCACACCCCTCAGGGCCCCAGGGCCCCTGCCCCCTCCCGACCTTTGCTCCTTTGCAGCTTACGTCACATGGGAGCCTCTACGGCTGCTAGGGCACAGCTCAGCTCAGGAGTGCCATTCACGGCCACCAGGAGCCAGGCGTCTGGCATTTCCAGCACCTGTTGTTGATCTTTGGACCCCCCCTCCCCCCCGGCCCTCCCACCTTTCTTCCCTGCCGGTCTCTGTTTCCCGGTTTCCTCAGTTCCCTGGCGCCCAGGCTCTGACTGGCAGTGTATCCCAGCTCCTTGCCCGGGCCATTCCTCCCATGCTGTCTTCAAACCCTGACGCCTGCACCTCTCCCAACCCCGAAGGGGAGAACTCAAGTAAGAGGGTCCAGTGGGCTTCTGGGAAGAGGAGGACGTCATCCACAGACTCAGAGTCAAAGCCCCTCGCCGACCCCTCCAAAGTGCCCAGGTCCCGGAGACCGAGCCGGCTGACGGTGAAGTATGACCTCGGGCAGCTCCAGCGCTGGGTGGACCTGGAGCAGTGGGTGGACAAGAAGCTTCAGGAGCTCTTCCAGGTGGGTAGCGTGGGGGAGGGAAGGGGAAGCAGGAGCTTGAAGCCTGGCCAGGGAGCTGAGGGAAAGTCAGGAGGAGCTGGAGGGTGGATGTGATGCTCCCATGGAGAGAACGCTCTTCCCAACAGGCGAAGCGTGCGCTTGCAGCTTGGAAATCTGGCCCCTCTGGTCTGGGCTCTGCCTCCAACTCCTCATAATCCGGGGCATGTCTTTTACCGTCAGAGAGACTTGGTTTCCTAATCTATAAAACGGGGCTGTAAAAACCTGGGCCTGTCAATTCCGCCTTTTACGACGTTTTGATGCCCAAGCAAGATAATAGAAGGGCTATTTTTTTTTTCTTTTATGTGTTTCTTTACTCTTATCCTCAACGTATATACACGTCTAGAGCTACATGGTCCAATACTGTAGGTATGAGCCATGTGTAGCTATTTAACTTCAAATTAATGAAAATTAAATCATATTCAAAGTTCAGTGTCTCAGTCACACTACCCAATAGCCCCACGTGGCTAGTGGCTACACACATACCTGTCCGCACAGATCTAGAACATGTTCCTCGTTTCAGAATGAACAGAACGGGACCAGAACATCAGAGTAACCGGCACTAATGCCAGCAGCTGGTCTGGCTTGTCCTGCTTCTCACTGACTACCCTGCATTCCCCCAGGGCAAAGGATGGGTCTTGGTCCCTTGTCGTGGGAAGCACTCAGCCAGCTCCACATTGGAATCCTGATGTAGTAGCAACCACTGCTCTAACAAGAGCACGTTTTGAGCACTGGAGCACCTGCTAGGCCCAGTGCCAGCATTCGATGTGCGTTCTGTCATTCACACACACCCCACCCCCCACGACTCCATTAGATGGGTAGCATCTCACCCTGGAGGACATGGAAGCTTGGCGATGTTGAGTAGCTAGGAAGCCACGGCGCTCAGGGCTGGGCCGGGGCTCTGTCCGCAGAGCCTGAGCACGCACTTGTGCATTAAGTGGTTCTCACACACCTGAAGTACTTCAGGAAAAAACAAAACAAAACAAAACAAAAAAACAGTGTCCTGGCTGCACCTCAACTGAATTTAATTAGAATCTGCTAGGGTGGGGCCCAGGCACTGGTCTTTCTCATAAGCTCCACAGTGACGCTAGCATGTGGCTGGCAGAGAGCCACTGCACCCAGCCAGAAACTACAAGTCTCCCTTGTCCTCATACCATGGTCCTTATTTCTCCTCTTTCTTGACTCAGTTCTCTCTCTCTCTCTCTCTCTCTTTCTCTCTCTCTCTTACTAAACAAGGGCCTGTGATTCTTCCAGGAAAGCCCTCGGTGGTTGGGTGGGGAGGAGTCGCCATGTGGCCCACGCTGCCTTGTGAGGTTCACTGGGTCATGTGGCTGCTTGGACCAGGTGCATCCTGGGGCAGGTGGCGGATGCCTTGACGCTGGGAGCGGGAGAGGCAAACTTTCTTGGCCCGAGTCTGCTCTGACCTTGCAGGACACGTCCCGTGCCGGTCACTCCTGCCAGCACCCTCTCTCTGGATCAGCTTCCATTTCAGATTGCTGTACACTTGCATGAAAAGTCTCATATTTCAGACACCTCAGGGCAAGTCCTTCTGGAGATCAAAGGAAGATACTAGCCAAAACTTGTTTTGCAAGATTAGGGAAGGGGGGGGGGTAGGGGAGGAAGCTGTACAATAACGAGTTTATAACATTTCCAACAGGACATGTAGGAGGACCGCTCCCAGGCAATGACTGAAATAAAATACCTGGCCTGCAGTTGCCATGGTGCTTGTCCAAAGGTGCAGGTGGCAGTTCCTTTCCCAATCCCTGCTCTTTTCATCCGGAAGCAGCCAAGTGACTGGGGAAGCCCCATGGGCGGAGATGGAAGCCACAGAGCTCCAGACTTACCCGATCCCGGTACTAACTACCCTGGGCCCCTCGCACCCACCCGGGCTCTCCTTACATATCCACCTTAAATGGCTCAACTGGAAATGGTTCCAGGATACATCACTACTTGTTTAGTTTTTTTTAAAAAAAATATATATTTTATTGATTTTTTACAGACAGGAAGGGAGAGGGAGAGGGAGTCAGAAACATCGATGAGAGAGAAATATCAATCAGCTGCCTCCTGCACATCCCCTACTGGGGATGTGCCTGCAACCAAGGCAAATGCCCTTGACAGGAATCGAACCTGGAACCCTTGAGTCCGCAGGCTGACTCTCCATCCACTGAGCCAAACCAGTTAGGGCCTGTTTAGTTTTTTTTAATGGGACCCAACCACCCTTTGATGAAGGGCCCACCACTTTCCACTGGGTGTACGGCCTGCTTTGGGTTCTTCAGAGGAAGCAAGTCTGGATCCAACCCAAACAAACAGATGTGGGGCGCGGGCGCTCCTGCTGTCCAGAGTGGGAGTGTGGGTTTGGCTACTGAGCAGGGGCTTAAACACTCATAAGTTTCTCCTATTTTAAAAACACTGTTATTTCCATCCAGTAAATTTTTCATTTAAAATATTGTATTTTTCACCTCTAGATGTTTGGTTCTTTCTCAGATCTCCCATTTTCATCATTATTGTGTTCACGTTTTCCTTGTCTGCTAATTCCATCCTCTCTGTCATTTCTGGGTCTGATTCTATTGATTGATCTTCCTCTTAGTTTATAGGGAGCATTTTCTGCTTCTTGCCATGGCTAGTGGTTTTTGCCTGGATACTGAATTGTAGAATAAATTATGTTGTTGAGTAACTGGATTTTCCCCCCCTCCCTTTAAAGAATGTTGGGCTTTATCCTAGTAGGAAGTTTAGTTACTTGTGGTTCTGCTGAGGCTGGTGTTTAAGCTCTGTTAGGATTAGTCTAGAGTTGCCTTTAATCTAGAGAATAATTCACCCCCGTAGTGAAGCGTGGCCCTTCTGAGGTCTGTACTGAATCCCTGCATGGTCCGTGCTGTCTGCGCTGGCTGGGTGGACTTTGATTTGTCTCCACACCTCTGTGAGGTCTGGGAACTGTTCATCTCTGTGCTTTCAGTGTCTCATGGTTTTACCCTACAAATGTGCATCTTGTGTTCAGCAGACTTAAGAGACCCCTTTATGCAGATTTCTGAAGGTTATTTTCTTTATAACCACCTCCTTTCCAGAACTTTGTCCAGCAAATTCCAGTCACCTCAACCCTGAATTCTGATCTCTGTCATATCAACTTAGCAGGACCACTGTGCTCTGCTTGGAATCTCCCTCTCAGCTCTGTGGTCTGGAAATGGACCCTAGAAAGCAATTCTGGGCAAGTCTAGAGGTAACCTCTTTCACTTCCCTTCTCTCTAGGGTATTTTTGAGCTACTTCTTGTCCAATATCTGAAAACACTGCTCATATATTCTTGTCTAGTGTTCTAGTGCTTATGTTGGGAGAATAAATCTGGTCCCTGCTACACCATCAAGACCAGAGTTACATATCTGGCTCTTACTCAGCCTTCTGGTCTCAGGCTACCGGTCACTTCCTTCAGAAAGCCTTCCTAAACCCCAGGCTTGGTTAGGTTTCCCTTCCATATTCTCGCAAAGTATCTTGTCAGCGTGCTTACCATCCTATTGCAACTGCCTTTTCACCTGTCCATATCCCTCAGGAGACAATAAGCTTTTCAAGGACAGGATAATGTCTGTCTGTCCTGCAATTATAACCCCAGTACTCATCCCAATGCTTGGTGTACAGCATTCTCTCAATAAATATGCATTAAATGAATGAATGCTGAATCAGATGAGCTAGAAACCAAGGCAGCAAAGGGGGAAGTCTGGAGCTTAGGATGAAAGAGCTATCTTATGCCAAAACCGGTTTGGCTCGGTCTGCGGACTGAAAGGTCCCGGGTTCGATTCCGGTCAAGGGCATGTACATTGGTTGCGGGCACATCCCCGGTAGGGGGTGTGCAGGAGGCAGCTGGCCGATGTTTCTCTCTCATCGACATTTCTAGCTCTCTAGCTCTCTCCCTTCCTCCTCTCTGTAAAATATCAATAAAATATGTGTTTAAAAAAAAAAAAAAAAAAGAGCTATCTTAGACACCCAGCACTGTTTCTTTTGAAAAAGGAAAGGAAAGCCGGGACCGGTTTGGCTCAATGGATAGAGCGTCGGCTTGGGGACTGAAAGGGCCCGTGTTCGATTCCGGTCAAGGGCATGTACCTTGGTTGCGGGCATATCCCCAGTGGGGGGTGTGCAAGAGGCAGCTGATCGATGACTCTCTCTCATTGATGTTTCTAGCTCTCTATCTCTCTCCCTTCCTCTCTGTATAAAATCAATAAAATATATTTTTTAAAAAAAGAAAAGAAAAAGGAAAGGAAGGACCAAAACTGTTAATTTGTCTCTGAAATCAATAAAAAATATTTTTTAAAAATCAATTATAGAATAAAGTCTACATATGAATGTACTTTGCTATAATGTATCCAATACCCCAATCAATATATGGGACATTTCCATAGTCCAAAAAGTTCCTCCAATAGCCTTTACTTTTAGTTGAATTACACAACTTGATTACTTAGTACATCTATTTCTATTTTGTTTATGAAAACAGAGCCAGGGTTCTAAGATAGTCCTTTCATCCTAACACTAAGCTCTTTGAGGGCAGGTTCTTTGTTTTGTTCACTGAATTTCCCAAGTTCACAGTAGTCACTTGACATATATTTAATATTATCCCAAATTAATATTATTATTATTCCAAATTATTAATGAAAAAGGTGAAGTTTGTAAAGGTGAATATAAAATATCCACATCAATATGGAAAGAACTTGTGTGGTTTTTTTTTTTAATATTTTATTGATTTTTTTTCAGAGAGGAAGAGAGAGGGATAGAAAGTTAGAAACATCTATGAGAGAGAAACATTGACCAGCTGCCTCTTGCACACCCCCTACTGGGGATGTGCCCAAAACCAGGGTACATGCCCTTGACCGGAATCAAACCTGGGACCTTTCAGTCCGCAGGCCGATGTTCTATCCACCGAGCCAAACCGGTTTTGGTGGAAAGAACTTGTTAAGCATAAAATAAAAAGGGAGCAAAACCTAAACTGCAAAAGACCATTAGATTTAACTATTTAAACACATACACCTATTTCCCCAAACCCTTCTGAACAAATGATAATTCTATGTGGAATGCTAGGGCTAATCTTATTTTTTTTTAAATCAGTAAGAAAAAACTGAACAAACCTAATAGACAAATGGGTAAGGCAACGTTCTTGAAGTGTGGTCTGGTGACTCCAGGGGTTCCTAAGACCATGTCAGGGAGCCCATGATTATTTTCACAGCAATACTAAGATGTTGTTTGCCTCTTTCATTACGTTGACACTTGTACTGATAATGCGAAAGCAATGATGGCTTAGAGTGAATCAGTAACGTGACACCACACACCCTATGTTCATTGGGTGTTATTTACAGTAGCCAAGACCTGGAAGCAGCCCAAGTGTCCATCCGTAGATGAGTGGATAAGGAAGTTGTGGTGTATCTACACCATGGAATACTACCTGGCCATAAAAAGAAGGAAATCTTACCTTTTGCAACAACATGGATAGATCTGGAGTGTATTATGCTAAGTGAAATAAGCCTGTCAGAGAAAGTCCAGTACAAAATGAGTTCACTAATATGTGGAGTCTAATGAACAAAATTAACAAACAAAATAGAAATAGACTCATAGATATAGAGAACAGACTGACGGATGTCAGAGGGGATGGGGGCTGGCAGGCTGGGTGAAGAAGATGAAGGGATTAAGAAAAAAAAGAAGAAAAAAAAAACCCTCACAGACACATACAACAGTATGGTGATTACCAGAGGGAGAAGGGAGGGGAGGATGTAGAAGAGGCTAAAGGGGGGGTAATGGAAGGAGACTTGACTTGGGGTGTGAACACACAATACAATATGCAGATTATAGAATTGTGCACCTCAAATCTATTAAATTCTGTTAACCATGTCACCTCAATTAAAAGGAAAAGTGACACCAACCTGTATTAGTATCATTTTCTTCACCACCACGCCACTTTCGCCTTCACTTGTGGAGTCCTTGATGAAGCAGTAAAAATTATTACGTTTATTAAATCTCGGACCTAAGCTCCCATCTTTTTTAGAAAGTAGACTTTGATTTTTAGAGCAGTTTTAGGTTCACAGTCGTAGTGAGCAGAATGGACAGAGTTCCATTATTTCCTGCCCGCACACATGCATAGTCTCCCTTCCTACCATCTCCCACAGAGCAGTGCACCTGTCACAGCTGATGAATTTATACCAGCTTATCATAATCACCGAATTCCATATTTTATATTAGGATTCACTCTTGGTGTTATGCATTCTACGGTTTTGACACATGTATAGTGACATGTATCCACTATTATAATATCCTACAGAATAGCTTCACTTCCCTTGAAGATTTTCTGTGTATCACCTGTTCATCCCAGCCTCCTCACAGTCCTGGCGACCATTGATCTTCTCACTGTCTCTATAGCTTTGCCTTTACCAAAATATCATATAGTTAGAATTATACAACCTGTACACTTTTTAGATTGGATTTGTTCACTTAGTAATGTGCACTTAAGGTTCCTCCATGTCTTTTTAAAAAATATATTTTATTAATTTTTTACAGAGAGGAAGAGAGAGGGATAGAGAGTTAGAAACATTGATGAGAGAGAAACATCAATCAGCTGCCTCCTGCACACTCCTTATTGGGTATGTGCCCACAACCAAGGTACATGCTCTTGACTGGAATCAAACCTGGGACCCTTGAGTCCGCAGGCTGAAGCTCTATTCACTGAGCTAAACTGTTAGGGCCCTCCATGTCTTTTTTTTTTTCTTTTATCTTTTTAAACATTTTTATTTATTTCAGAGAGGAAAGGAGAGAGAGAGAGAGAGAAACATCAATGATATGAATCATTGATTGGCTCTTGCATCCCCCTATTGGTGATCAAGCCCACAACCTGGGCATGTGCCCTTGACCAGAATCGAACCTGGGACCCTTCAGTCTACAAGCCGACGCTCTATCCACTGAACCAAAACAGCTAGGGCCCTCCATGTCTTTTCATGGCTTGATAGCTCATTTTGTTCTAATGCTGAGTAATATTCCATTGTCTGGACGTACCACAGTTTATTATCCCTTTACCTAACGAAGAACATTTTTGTCACATGCAAGTTTTGGCAATTATGAATGAACTTCCTATAAACATTTGTGTGCAGGTTTTTGTGTGGAAATGTTTTCAAGTCATATGGGTAAATATCAAGGATCACACTTGCTGGATTGTGTGGTAAGACTGTGTTTCATTTTATAAGAAGCAGACTGTCTTCCAAAGTGTCTGTACCACTTTGTATTCCTACCGCAAGGAATGTGAGTTCCCGTTGCTCTGCATCCTCACCAGCATTTGGTGTTGTCAGTGTTTTAGATTTCTTCCATTTTATTTTATTTTATTTTTTTTATTTATTTATTTATTTATTTTAGATTTCTTCCATTTTAATAGGCGTGCAGTGGTATCTAATTGTTGGTTTAATTTGCTATTCCCTAATGACATGTAATATTGAGTATCTTCTCAGCTGTTATTTGCCACCTGTGTATCTTCTTTGGTGAGGCATCTGGTCAGATCTTTTGCCCATTTTATTTTATTTTTTAAAATATATTTTATTGATTTCTTACAAAGAGGAAGGGAGAGAGATAGAGAGCCAGAAACGTCAATGAGAGAGAAACATCGACCAGCTGCCTCTTGCACACCCCCTACTGGGGATGTGCCCCTAGCCAAGGTACATGCCCTTGACTGGAATCGAACCCGGGACCTTTCAGTCCACAGACCGATTCTCTACTACTGAGCCAAACCAGTTTTGGCTCTTTTGCCCATTTTAAATTGTTCTTTTCTTATTTATGAGTTTCAAGAGTTCTTTGTATATTTTGGGTAAGAGTTTTTTGTTTTGTTTTATCAGATATATCTCTTGCAAATATTTTCTCCCAATCTGTGACTTGTCTTCTTATTCTCTTGAGCTTCTTTTATCTTCAATTTTATAATCTTTGTAGTTAAAATTTTTTCAATGACTATAACTTTTCAAAAGTATATCTTTATTGATTTCAAAGAGGAAGGAAGAGGGAAAGAGAAAGATAGAAGCATGATGAGAGAGAATCATTTATCAGCACACCCCCTACTGGGGATCGAGCCTGCAACTCCAGTATGTGCCCTTGGCCAGAATCAAACCTAGAACCCTCCAGTCCATAGGCTGATGCTCTATCCACTGAGCCAAACTGGCTAGGGCAACTATAGTAACTCAAAGATAGCTTTATTTCACATACCATATAATTCATCACTCAAAGTGGGAAATTTCATATTTTAAATATCTTCAAATGGTTGTACAACCATCACAATCTAATTTTTGGCCTTTTTATCACCCCTTAAAGAAATTCTGAACCCATTAGCAGTCATACCTCATTCCCTACTGCCACCATTTCCAACCCTAAGAAACTACTAATCTACTTTGTGTCTCCATAGATTTATCTATTCTGGACATTTCATACAAGTTGAATCATATAATATGAAGCCTTTTATAAATGGTTTCTTTCACTAACAATGTTTTCAAGTTTCATCCATGTTGTAGCATGAATCAACGCTTTGTTCCTTTTATTGATGAGTAACATGGCATGGCTACATCAGATTTCATTTATCCATTCATCAGTTGATGGGCATTTGGGTTTAGACTTTTTGGCTAGTATAAATGATGCCGCTATGAACGTTCATGAGAAACTTTTTTGTGTGGACATGTGTTTTCATTTCTTTTGGGAACAGACCTAGGAGTGGAATTGCTGGGTCAGATGATAAATATATATTTAACATTTTAAGGAATGACCAAACTTTTCCAAAGCAGCTGCACCGTTTACATCTCTACCAACAATATATATAAAACTTTTGAAATTAAAACAGACACTCTTTTTAAAGACTTCTAGGGCTGTTCTGGAAGATCACAGTAGTTTGTCCAGTAACTGTTATGGCAGGATGAATGCGTGGTTTGAAGAAGACGAGAGGAACTGGACATGGAAAATAGAGTGGGGAACGGGTGAGCCCCTGACAGTAACTTTCACTCCAGCACTAGCTGGCCAGGCCTCTCTGAGCCCCATGTGATTCCCAAACAGGATCAACCAACCTCTTCTGAGCCGGAGATTGACCTGGAAGCTCTCATAGAACTATCCACAGAGGAGCAGAAAACTCATTTGGAGGTAGAATGGGAGCGGGGTCCTGGGGCCAGGGATTGGGGTTGGAAGCTGGGCTTGGACTAAGGGGAACCTAGGAACCCAGGTTCTGCCTCCTTGGGTGGGGTGGGAGAACCGAATCAGAGGGAATTCCTGGCAGACTGAGTGGGGGCTTGTGGGAAAGTACGGAGGCTCAGGACCCACTGTCTGCTCTCTTCTACGCAGGCTCTTCTCCGAGACTGTCCCCGCCCCACAGAGGTGAGGATGCTTTGCTGTTCTGTGGGTAAGGGGAGGCCCAGCGGGGAGGAAACTAATGAAAGGAAAGCTTGGGCCTGCATCTTTCTCCCTTCCCTGGCCCCAGGAGACGGGGTAAGGCAGATATTAGGGAGGACAGTATGGTGGTGGGTGTGACTCCATGCCTTGATCTCACCCATTTCTTCTTCAGCCTTTTATCTCCGAACTGCTCAGTCAAATCAAGAGACTCCGGAGACTCAGTCGGCCTCAGAAATAGGACTTGTGAGACTATGTTCAGCAACCTCAGTGCTGTCAGGCCTGCCCCGAGCCTCTGGATCCTGGGCTGAGAGGGAAGTGGCTCCTTGGGACATGGACAAGGAACGTTGGAAGATGAGGTCACACGTGGCCACCCCTGTTGTATGTACAATCACAGCTAGTTCTTGTCAGTTGGGCTTTCTGGGAGCGTCATGGCCGCTGCCCAGTGTTTTCCTTCACAGCCAAGTGGATAAAACCTTTAGGAGTCCCGGCTGAATGGAGTGTGGACATATCTGTGCTGAGGGGAGGGAGAGGGTGAAGTGCTTTACCAGGAGGCGAGCATCATGGTACATTCTATCTTCATACCTCACCATCCATCCATCCATCCATCCATCCAATCTGAGAATTTAAAAATGAAGGTCAGAGTACTGCTTCAGAGATCACAATTCTAACAAGGCCCTGAGGCTAAGACACAAAGCATCCTGTCGTCATCAACAGGAGCCAAGCGGCAAAGACTAGTTTTGAGTCCCAGAGGCAACAGGAAAAAGCAGTCTGGGTCTGGGACATCAGGGAAGGCTGAAACCCCCTGCCCCGCTAGGTGAGGCAGGAGGCCTCCGGCCGGGGGAAGGGAAAAAGCAGGGGCTACAGCAGTGACTAAGCAGAAAGGGATAGGGTTCAGGCTAAGAGGCCAGGGTCAGGTCAGGAGGGAGTTGTTAGCAACAGACACTGAGTCAGAAGGGCAGGAGCCCTGGAAGTTGGTGCCCTTTGGGAGTAAGGCAGGAAGCAGGGTGTGCTTCCATCGTTTGTGCATTCGGCTCTGAGTACTAGAGAGGCCGAGAATCCACCACAGTGGGGGCTGGGGCCAAGTTGGGCTGCCCAGAGCAGGACCCACACTTCCGTCCAGTTGAACAAATATTCATGCCTATTCCTGACAGGAGAATCTTACATGAGGAGAATCTTACTGGACTTCAGCCTACTTTGCTTCGCCACCTCTCCCAGGACCCAGACTCAGGGCCCACAGGTTCTAGAGATCAACGATGATGGGCCCAAGGATTCAACATACTTTATTTGATACATTAAGTGCTGGGGCCCTTGAGCAGGTTCCAGACTCATTCTTAGATTCAGTCTGGTCTTCCCAGGCCAGGCTTTGCTGGTGGAAGGCTCCTCACTTCTGCCTTCCCTCTGGCTCCTCCAGCCATCGTTTCCAATGCAGAATCTTTCCCCCTCCGTGGATATCGAGGCTCAGGAAGGGGGCACCCAGGAGCAGTCTAGCTCAAAGTGCTCGCCTGTCAGAAGCCCCGAGTCTGGGCCCAGAGGTGGGCGCCCCAGCCTGTGTGACTGCCTGCAGGACGGCCTTCCTGGGAGGGCCAGGGCTTCCTCAGTGTGCTTGGCCTGCACGTGGGGGGTGGTAAGCAGATGTCTGATGCTCTTTAAGGTCAAAGGCGTCATGGCCTTCCCTGTGGAAAAAGAGAAACAGGTTAGGGGTCACAGGTCGCCCTGGGCACCCTTAGCCGCACAGAACACCCTCCCTGCACCCACCGGAAGCAGCGGGCGCAGTAGAGGTCTCCGTCGCAGCCAGCACAGCGCAAGGTGGCGTCCTCATTGCAGATGCAGCACCAGGGGAGCGGCTCTTCCTCAGCCTCGGGCCTGGGGGCCGTGGCCTGGGCCTTCGGGGAGCAGCAGGAATGGGGGAGTGAGGTCCCTGAGGGGGAATGGGTGGGGTGGCTGTTGCCAGAGCATCAGCCAGTCAGGGGGGAGGCTGCGGAGGCCCCTTGGTCTGTGTCGGGGCTTTTCTCACCTTAGGCTCTGCCCTGCAGGACCTGGCCGGGGGTCGGAGTGCTGGCTCTGCAGGGATGTTAAAGCCACTGGCCTCATCCAGGGCAGCCTCTTCAGTGAGCTGTGGACAGGGCAGAGAGTACAGCTCCCTGCTCGTGGCCCAGGTCCTCCCCCGTGCCCTGAAGGTGCCATAGCCTTAGTTTCTCAATCCATCTTCCTTATGTGTTGCCTATGGCAGCTGTCACCCCATCTCAAGAGGCCAGGTCTGGGTCATAGGGACAGAGGGACCTCAGCTGGAACAGCAGCTGCAGAGCGACTGGCCATTCAGACCCAGAGCGGAGGCAGGATGAACGGGTCCAGGCGTGTGGTGGGACAGGGAGGCAGGGGCAGGACAAAGGGTGGCCAGTGGGTAAGGCAGGCCCACCTGTCGCAGGACTCTCTGGATGGCCGCCTCCTCGTCCTCATCGTCATCACTGTCTGGGAGGCGATAGTCTTGGAGGGTCACTTGAAGAGGGAGAGAGGTAGGAGCGAGTTGAGAGAGTTCACCAGCTATACTTTTTTTTTAAAAATATATATTTTATTGATTTTTTTACAGAGAGAAAGGGAGAGGGATAGAGAGACGGAAACATTGATGAGAGAGAAACATCGATCAGCTGCCTCCTGCACACTCCCTATTGGGGATGTGCCTGCAACCCAGGTACATGCCCTTGACCGGAATCGAACCTGGGACCCTTGAGTCCGCGGGCTGACGCCCAGAGCCAAACCGGCCAGGGCATCACTGGCTATCCTCTTGCTCCCAGGAGCTGGTTTGGTTTCCAGTGGCACTTGGTCCAGGGCTGAGCAGTCTCTGCAGCCATTCTGATCTGGCCTCCCACTCCTTGTTCCCCCCCCCCCGCAGGGCTCGGGGTCAGGAACAGAAGGCTCCGCACCTGAAGGGACTGAGGGTCCCCTGCACCCTGATGGCTGCCACTTCCCCCTCAGCCGCTGCTTTGCTCCAGTACTTTCCCTGTGGCCCTGGGCAGAGCTCGGTAAACCCCCTGGCACAGAGACCCCCGGGACCTGCCTGAGCCGGGCGGCCCTTTCACAGAACCTGCCCCGAGTGTGGGGGCTGCTCCCCAGGTCCTACCTCTGTCGGGGTCCTGTCCCCGAAGCACGGCCAGGCGCTTGGCAAGGTCCAGGATCCGCTCTTGCCTCGTGTTCTCCTCCCGCAGCTCGACTGCAGCTTCAGCCAGCAGCCTGCTCTCCTCCCCGTCCAGCGACCGGGTGGCCTGCCCCTTGGAATGTGCGCTCAGGCCGCCTGGCCAACCCTGGTTGAGGTCATTCTGATCAGAGGCAGCTGGAAGGAGCAATGCAGTCAGGGAGGCGGAGCTATTCCGAGATCTCTCATCAGAAGCCACGGAGCCCATTTCTCAACATTTTATAAAGACTCCAGAGCACCAGCTTTTTGTTCAGCACCAGCTTCCATGGTTTATATTACACACGAGATGCCCATCCTAAGGACAGCATGTTAGAGTATCAGGTGGGTTGGGATGGATATAGTTGGAAAAAACCTCTGCGATTACCAGTGTTTTATATTGGGGGGGGAAATGGTATGAGAATCAATGCCCCCAATAATCAGGTTTTGGGGAGGCCAAAGTTCAGCCAGTGTCTCTGCCTTACCGGCTGAAGCAGCATTTCCAGGGACCAGCACAGAGAGGACACGACAGAACCTGAGGTCTCCTGTGTTACTAGGCTGGGAGAATTTTGACAGAGGGGGTGTGGCTTTGACATGTTCCCTTAAGCTCAAGATCAGACCAAGAGGTTTGAAAGCAGACAGCTTTGGGTCCAAGCCCTAGCTTTGTTCCTTAATGGCTGTGTGATCTTGATCTAGTTCCTTAAAACTCACCAGGCCTGTTTCCTCATTTATAAAATATGGATAATAAGAGTATGCATCTCACAGAATTATTGAGGATGTTCAAGGAGATTGTGTCTCTAAAGCAGGATTCCTCAATGGTGGTTCTACTGACATTTTGGGAAGAATAATTCTTTGTTGTGGGGCTGTCCTGTGCATCATGTGATGTTTTAGCAGCCTCCTTAGCTTCTGTTCACTAGGTGCCTGTGGTAAATTCCACATTATGACAACCAGAAAGTCTCCAGACACTGTCAAATGGGCCATGGAGGGGAAATCATCCTTAGTTGAGAACCACTGCTCTGAAGCCTTTGAATAGCACAGTCCAATATAATTTTTATAATGATGGAAACATTCCATATCATGGTTATATTTGTGCAGTCCAAGATGGTAGCCACGAGCCATATGTGGAACTGGGCACTTGAAATGTGGCTAGTACCACTGAAGGGACAGAATTTTAAATTTAATTTTAATTCAAGTAGCGTCTTCCTCTTCCTTATCTTCATCATTGCAAAGAACATTCACTGAGCACTTACTACGGCCAGGCAGGGTCCTAAGAGCTAATTGGATAATCTCGTTTATTCCTTGAAACTTCCCCACAAGGTAGGCTTTAACACACACACTTCCATTTTACAGATGAAGAAAGAGAGACATTCTCAGGATCACACAGCTGGTAAGTGGTAGGAGAATCACTGACCGATTCTAAAGTCCACACACTATCTACTAGGCTTACACTGGCTCCCAGAGGAGTAGACACTCAATAAATGGTAGCTCTTAGAGTGTTGATTGTTCTCTGATTTACATATATCCGCCTCCCAGTAGACAGCAGAGCCTCTCCCACCTGGGGTAAAAAGAGGAGAAGTTACCTGGGCTTCCTCCTTCCCAGCTCTCATCAATAGCCACCTCTGCAGTGAGCTGTGTCAGCAGGTCCTGTGCTTGCTGGGCCTGGGTTCTGGGATCTGGTGGCTGATGCACCTGCTCAGAGGAGGGAACCTCAGTGGGGATCGGGACAGGGGGAAGCCACCATAAGGTCCAGAGCAGTCTATGTCAGAGAGGAGTTCCCAAAGCTCAGGGAAACAGGGGCTCATCCAGGACCCACATAACTGAGTAGGTCTGGCAGTCCCCAACCAGACCAGGGCCACTCTTTCCTGCCCATCCAATCCTGCTTGACCTGGTTCCTTGGCCTGGCAGCAGACCCGAGGATCAGGGGGTGGGAGTCAGAGGCTTGCCAACTCCTACAGAGTACCTAAGCACACATGTACTAGGACCCCCTTCCCTCCCAAGCCACAGCACTCACCGGCTGGGGGGTCTGAGAAGGTGGAACTCTGCCCTGCAGCGTGGCAAGCCGTGCCTCCATCTCCTGGGTGGAAGGGATGGAACTCTGGGTTTCACCCCTCAGTGCGGCTAGCCTGGCTTCTATCTCTGCCTGTGAGGGCACTGACTCTGCAATTGGCATGGGGGACACGTGTAAGGCCCAGAGGAATCCCAGTCCCAGGAGCCCCAGATAGTGTCCTTTAGGCCAGTGGTCGCCAACCTTTCGGATATCATGGACCACCGGTGGTCCGAAGACCACCAGCTGGCGACCGCTGCTTTAGGCCAGCCTGCCTGCCCCTACTCACTGGGCTTGTTCTCCTGGCGGAGCCGTGCCAGGCGCTCAGCGATGACTTGGTCTTGTTGGGTCAGTCCATGGCTCTGGGGAGTGTTGGACTTCTGCTTGGCTTCCAAGGCTGCCACACGCCTGGCAGGACAGGAGATAAAGGCTCCCGAAGAAGGCAAAGGGAGGGGTGAAGGCACCCAGCACTCCTCCCCATTCAAACCATTTCTAGGCATTGAGGGAGGCCTCCAATGGACAACCTTCTGTGGTCCTCACGCATGTTGGCCTGCAGCTCAACCCACTGCCCAGCCAGAGGGTCCAACAGAAAGGATGTGTATCAAGAACTGTTTCTGGGAAGAAGGCTAATGAGCTGCTTTCTGATCCCAAGAGGGCGGGCAGGAGCCTTCCAGATGGATGTTCTCCTGACCCTGTGTTCATTTGATCTAGAGGCTGGGAAGAGAGTCCTACCCCGGGGCTTCCCTGTCCTTTCCCCCATTCACTTTTGTCTCTGTCCTTTCAGCACTTACTTCTTATAGTTCTGAGGTGGTGACCACTTGGAGGCATTGGCAGGAGAAGACCCTCTATAGAGAAGAAATCTGGTTTCAGAAGTCCTGGCATCTGCTAATCAAGTGATCCCCACCCCAAACACTTCCTGGGCTGATCTCAGGCCACAGAGCACAGGCTACAAGGATTGGCCAGCTGCCTGCTGCCATGGTTGGCTGAATCCTTGCCCTTGTCAGTTTCTCACCTAGTCAGGACCTCGTGGCACTGTTTGCAGACTTTCTGATGGGTGTTCCCAGCCCGAGGCACTGCTGCACTGAAGCTAAGGCAGCTGGAACAGAAGGCCCGGCCACAATTCTTACAGCCAACCTACAAGAAACACAAAGCAGAGTTATCCACCTCTCGACCACCTAGGTGGGCCCTCTCTGGCACTCTCTGAGCACCCAGAGGGAAGACACTGAAGTCAGATGAGGAGTGGGGACCCTAAGGCCTGGGAGACATGAGGGTGGAGTAAAGTGATTCCTCCGTCCCCAGTCTTTTATTCAAATCAGGTAACGCTCCATACAAAATTTCCATGCTTTCTGTCTGACGGGTCTTCAATTTCCTGACACTGGGGTATAGAAGACAAACAGGCAAGGCCCCTTGGCCACTGACTCTTCAACAAAGGAGAATCGGAGAAAGTGCAGAGCTCACGCCATCTCTGCTCCAGCAACCATGGAGGGAGGCGTTGGCTGAGGATGGGATGATAACAATAGCCTCCATTTATTAAGCACTTACTGTGTGTCAGGCCCTAAGCTCAGTATTTAACATTCATCAGCTGATTTAATCCTCACGGTTTCGACTCACTATTTTACTTAATCCTGATGTCCAGCATTATTGTTCCTATTGTAGGCAGGGTCAGAGAGCTTACATGACCTGCCCAAACAAAAGTCACCCTATGAACAAGACAACAGAGCTCACATTTGAACTCTGACCCTGACTCCCCAAACCCAGCTTTCCAAGTACTGCACGGACCTGCCTCCCTACGTGCTCTTCACTCATCCTATGTGGTTCCTATCTCCTAGTCCCTGCTGAGGTACAGGAAGCCTGCATTTAGTACCAGGGAGACTTGAGGGGGGGGGGGGGGGCCTCCTGTGCTGAAGAGCGGAGAGACTCTGCCATGGACCCTGCGGGCAGCAGAAAGGTTGGTGACCTAAGCCGGCTGCGTGATGGTGAACGTTTCAGAGCAGAGTAACGAGACAAGGCGTGATGGAGAGTGGTCACCGGGCTGCGGAGAAGAAACAGGATCGAGGGGAAGAAACAGCCGGTTCCTACACTTGGCAGACAAAAAAGTCTAGTTTTCCAAACTCACAGGAGCGCGCTTTGTAGTTCACAGAGAGCTTTTCCCTCCATTACTTCACTGGACCCACACCAACCTGCGAGCGGGGGAGGGCTAGCCCCGTTCTACAGAAATGGAAACTACGGCGCAGGGACTGAAAACCATACCGCTGGGAAAGGCTGGAAACGCAGTCTATGGGCTGCAAGTGCAGTGTCTCTCCCTCCACTCTGCGTTCTCCCGGGCCCTCTCGCCCACGGGGAGAGAAGACTCACCTCCTTCTTGAAGAGGGTGAACTTGACAGCGCAGCCGTAGCACCTACTCTCCATCCTGGTTCCTGGCGTGGCGTGGCGCGGCACCGTCGGTAGAGTTGAGATCACACCTGCGAGGTACGGCGCCCCGTGGACCTTCACCCAGCTCCGCCCCTGCCCCCCACACCCACTCGCGCGAGCCTGCCACGGCCTCCCGCAGGGAAATCGCGAGCGGCCATCCTAGTCGGAGAGCTACAGCGGCGGGCGCGAGGGCTGCTGGGAGTTGTAGTTCACTTACGGCAGCCCGCTTCCCTCAGTGGCAATCAAGCTTGTCACAGAACACGACATTTCCCAGGGGGCTAAGCGCCATTCAGCGGCTGGGGCCGACGGTCTTCGGGAAGAGTCCCGCGCACGTGTAGACTCTTGGGAGTTGTAGTACGAGTCCAGTCAGGGTTGGAACCATGTCGGTGGCCAAGGAGCTCTTACAGATGGACCTGTACGCGCTGCTAGGCATTGAGGAGAAGGCGGCGGACAAAGAGGTGAGAATGGTGGCGGGGAGGGTCGGCCCCGAGTGGTCGGGCGGCCCTTCCTGTCTTGGCGCCTAGACCGGCACCCGCTTTCCAGGATCGGCCGGGCCCTGGGCCCGTAGCGAGGGGCGGCCTGCCCGCCTCAGAAGCTGGGCTCCCGGACCGTTCTAGCGCGGTGTGAGAGCCTGGCCAGGAAGAAGGGGTCGCAGAAGAGGGGCTCCTCTGGCCCTAGTCTAGGAGAGGGTGTGGGGTGAGCCTGGAGGGAATGCTAGCCTCCTCCCTGCGCCTGCGCAGGCTCAGCCTCTAATTCCGCTGGTGCCCTGCCTGTGGCCCGAGGCTCTTCACTCTCCTGAGGGCTGATTAACTCCGCTTAACTTGCAGTGGTGCTCAGCCTTTCTAATGCCGCGACCCTTTAATACAGTTCCTCATGTTGTGGTGACCCCCAACCATAAAATTATTTTCGTTGCTACATCATCACTGTAATTTTGCTGCTGTTATAAACCGTCATGTAAATATCTCAAATCACAGGTTGAGAACCGCTGCTGTAGAGCCTAAGACCATCGGAAAACACAGATATCTGCTTTACGACTCATTAACAGCAGCAAAATTACAGTGAGGAAGTAGCAACGAAAGTAATTTTTCGGTTGGCGGGGTCACCACAACATGAGGAACTGTATTCAAGGGCCGCAGCATGAGAAAGGTGGAGAACCACTGGCTTAGAGCCTAGGATGAAAGAAAGGCGCAGGGCGCCTCCACTCCCTTCGCAGCCCCTCCTTGGGTCCTATGACCTTGCCACCTGCCTCTGTTTTCTTTTCCTTCCCAGTTCATTGACTCTTTTCAAGTAGCAGATGCTCAGGTGTTGTCCTTTAAACAAGTGCTAGTGGGCCTTGCAAAGCAGAGGATCATAGGATAAGGCAGATGGATGGCCTGAAGTTCCACAGGAAGGTGTCTATAACGGCGCCAGGGATTCGGGCACTGTACTGTAGTTAAGATTTCTGTTATTTAACCCTGGATCATGGTTGGTAATTGTAGCAACATAGGAAGGGGAGGCAGATAATTCATCAGCTGAAAACCAAAGCCTGCTGTGGCTGGGTAGGTTAGAGCGTCCTCCAGATAACGCCAAGGTTGCCAGTGGATCCCTGGTCTGGGCACATACAACAATCAAACAAATTGCCGAAACCGGTTTGGCTCAGTGGTAGAGCCTCGGTCTGCGGACTGAAGGGTCCCAGGTTTGATTCCGGTCAAGGGCATGTACATTGGTTGCGGGCACATCCCTGGTGGGGGGTGTGCAGGAGGCAGCTGGTCAATGTTTCTCTCTCATCGACGTTTCTAGCTCTCTATCTCTCTCCCTCCCTCTCTGTAAAAAATCAATAAAATATATTTTAAAAAAAAAAAGAAACAATGAATGCGTAAATAAGTGGAACAATTCAGTTTTTCTTTCTCCCTGCCTCCCTCCCTTCTTCTTTCTCTCCCTCCAACCCTCCCTCAATAAATAAAAACTCAATAAATAAAAAATAAAAAAGAACATTAATGCCTATGAATGCCCCTGTACTTCCAGGCTGCCCTGCTCATTAACTGAGTGATCTTGTAAGGGAAATGCTAGGCAGAAAAGCAGGAAGACCCATAGGGCCCTTGGGAAGTGCTGCCCCCTGCAGCTGGGCTGAAATCACAAGTGGACCATGGGCCCCTGGCCGGTTTGGGTTTGGGTCAGTGAGCGGTTAAAGCGCTGATCTGTGGATCAAAGGGTCTCGGGTTTGATTCCCAATCAAGGGCATGTGCCTCGGTTGCTGGTTCAGTCCCAGGCCCCTGTTGAGGCATGTGGGGAAAGCAACCTCTTTCCCTCTCTCTTCCCTCCCTTCTACTCTCTAAAAAATAAAAAAATAAAAAAATCAATGGGAAAAAAATTCTTTGGTGAAGATTAAAAACAATTTTTTAAAGAAAAAGAAAAGAAATGGGCCAGGGGGATGTGTAACATCTGCTATCTGTTAAGTCTTAAAATTTCAGTATTAGTAATGTTTACACCCATATAACACTTTGAGTGTGCTGAGCACTATTCTAAGTTCTACATTTGTACTTTGTTTAACTGGTTCTTCAGAAGAAGAACTACTTGGGACATTTCGCACTAGATCTAGCAGGTGTGTTGGAACCCTGAAGTTGAGAACTTTTGAGGAAGGCAGTTGGGAGTTGTTGCTTGTATATATTACTCAGAGAAGTGATGTAATCAGATTTTTAAAAATTGAACATCAGTGTGTAGAATGGACACAAGTGGGTGGTGGGTGAGTCTGTTGTCTAGCCAGAAACCAAGGTCTAATCAGACCAGTGTGGTTGGGATCCAGTTTTCACTCAAACGAGATAAGGGATAGGTGAGAACATTCTTTTAAAGGATAACAGGTGCTTCTCCTGCCTTTCAGTAGGAGAGACGCAATTGTAATACAAGGGAGAACACAATAAGTTCCTTAAGAGGGACACAGACAAAGTGCTGTGGATGTTTGGGAAAGGGGTTGGGGAGATAGAGAAGGCATTTTAAGCCTGAGGAAGGGATAATCCAAGAAAAGGGAGAATGTGTGTAGAACAGTTTGTGTGGAGCATAGGCCAAGAAGAAAGGAAGGGTAAAAGGAGATAAGCCTTGAAAAGTAGATTGGGGCCTTTGGATATATTAGCTATGAGCTAGCTTCATGGTGATGGGGATTTTTTGGCAGAGAACAAGGAGACATCGGCCCTGTGTCCCCTCTCCTGGGTTCAAGGCCTATGTTTTCTAGGGATGTCTGGAGGACCAACAGATATCTAAAGTCTGTACCAGGAAGGCCTCCTAAATGCTGGTTGTCTGGTTAGATAGCAGTTCCTTATTTGGGATCCACAAAAAGTTGCCAAGAATTAAATAAACCCCAGAAATCATGTGTAATTTTTTTGTGTGTGTCTTCACTTTTGAGAAGAGGTAAGTCTTAAAGAGAAAAGATTAAAGAAGCCTCAATCTAGGCCAACCCCCTGTGTTACTGAAGTTCAGCAAGAGTGGTTAGTGACAGAATTGGGTCTAGAACCTGGATCCCCAGGATACCCAGCCCAGGCCACTGCTCCTTCCACACCGTGTCCCTTTAGCCCTGTCCGGCACTGTACAGTCCAGTGGTGGTGATGCACATCAACATCTGATTTAATTTCCATTCAGACCACTTCTCTGAATCCCAAATCTGTATATGCATCATCCTATTCAATCTCTCCATTTGGATGCTTCACAGGGATCTAAATTGTATTACTCCAAAATTGAACTCTTGAATTTCTCTTTCTAAACCTGCTCCTTCCTTGTGCTTCTGTGTCTTAGTAAATGGCACCACTCTCCATCCACTCAAGCTAGGAACCTGGAGTCATTCTTCAGACCCCCCTGTCCGCTTAATCCTGCCTTCACTGTGTCTTACTGAGTCAGCCTCCCAAATCTGTTCGCTTATCTCCGGCTCCAGCGCCAGCGCTCTGCCCAGAGCCCCATCAGCTTCCATCAAACCATTAGAGTGGCCTGTCAGCTTGTCTGCCTGCTGCCAGTCTATTCCAGTTTACTTTGCTGTACTCCTCCAACATATTCTCCTGGCAGAAAATGGAATGATCTTGAAGCCATATTGTGCTTTTAATAAAACACTCAATAGAATTTCTTACCCTTCTCACATGCTGTCCCTTCTGCCAGAAATGTTTTTTCTCTCCTTCTGTTAGCTTGGGTTGCTTTTCCTTTGCTTTCAGAACTCAGCTTTGTACTTCCCCAGAGAGGCCTTGCTGATTATTCTTCCATACCAACTGGTTCTCCTCTTTTCCAGCACTTTTTTCATTTTGCAATTATTTATGCATTTGTGTGATTATTTGTCTAATTTCTTACTCCCCTGTATATTCAGCTGCAAGGAGCATATCTCGTCCATTTACCTGAGCAGCAGTTCCGTGCCTCGTGACTAGCACAGAGGAAGCTCTCAAAAAATACGGGGGGGGGGGGGGGGGGGCAAAGTAGGTTTACAGTTTGAGGATGTGAAAAAGGTTTGCAGAGTTTATTCTTGTATTATTATTTGTTAAATATTTATTTTCCATACGAACAAGTGTAAAACTACTTTCGCCTCACCCTGTATTTGTTTTTTTTAGCGTTTTAAAATATATTTTATTGATTTTTTTACAGAGAGGAAGAGAAAAGGATAGAGAGTTAGAAACATTGATGAGAGAGAAGCATCGAACAGCTGCCTCTTGTACACCCACTACTAGGGATGTGCCCGCAACCAAGGTACATGCCCTTGACCGGAATCGAATCCAAGACCTTTCAGTCTGCAGGCCGATGCTCTATCCATTCAGCCAAACTGGATTCGGCTGTTTGTTAGTGAATAAAATAGTGTCTTCAGAAACCACTGCAGCAATTTGACTTGAGAATCAGGAGACAGTCTCTGCCTTTCTCATTTTAACCCTTTTTGAGTGTACAGTTCAGTGACGTTAGTGCATTCACATTGTTGTGCAACCATCACCACTGTCCATGTCCAGAACTTTTCTGTCATCCTAAATTGAAATTCCAATCAATTAAACGTTAATTCCCAT